CCCCCGCCCGCCCTGCCCCGCCCCGCCCCACCTGGCAGCTCCTGGCTCCACAGCTTTGATTTGGGCACTTTCTGCCCCAGACCAACATGGGCAGCTGCTCCCCGCGGCAGCACCTGCTCCTTTTGCTGCTGCTGCTGATGTTGCTGCAGCTGGCGGCGGCTGTGGGCACCCAGGAGGGCGCAGGCCTGGCCGAGAAGCTGGCCCCGGAGGCATCCGCTGAGCGTCCCCCAGAGGAAGAGGAAGAGGAAGAGGAAGGCGTCCTGGTCCTCAAGGAGGAGAGCTTTGCCCGAGCCCTGCAGAAGTATCAGCTGCTCCTGGTGGCGTTCTGTATGTGTTGCCTGTGCCCGGGGTGTGGGGTGTGTGTGAGGCTGCAGCCCAGCCCAGCCCAGCCCAGCGTGTGGGCTCTTTGGGAAGGTCGTTGTGGTTGGCGGGTGGAGCCGGCCCACCCGGAGAAGCCGCAAGGTGAAGGGATCCCGGTGCCCGGGGTGTTCCAGTCACTTTGCTCCACCCGTCTGGCTTCCAGGGGGCTCCCGGGAGGGAGGCGGCTTCCTCCTCTCGCCCGAGTGTGTGTGTGTGTGTGGGGTGTGTGTGTGTGCTCAGCCTCCTTCCAAGGGCCCTCGGGGCCACAGGTCTGGCTCACAGCAGCCTCTGTGACACTCATGCTGCACGGCCGTCCCTCCGTCCCCCTGGCACGAGCCAGTCCTGCCCCCCCCCACATCCTGTTCAGTCACAGCTCTCAGGTCACCCACTGGAAAAGCAAACAGGCCCAGAGAGAAGCCAGGCGCCATCCACCGTGCCACCTGGGGGCACGACTCAGGCAAACAGGACCTTCCAGCTGCCCCTTATCAGCGCCGAAGGAGGGGCAGGCACTGTTCCCCCTGAGGCAGATATGGAGGCGAGGGCGGGGGGGGCGCAGCTCAAGGGGGTCTCTTGAGGACTTCAATGGCCAGGCCTTTGAAGTGGGCCTCCCCCCCCCGCGCGTTCCTCCACAGAAATCACTTTGCAAAAAGGCTTTGAACCAACCTCTCTGACCATCAGAGGATGCCGCGGGTGACTTAAAATGGGGTTGGTCTCCTTTCTGGTTCCCAGGTGCTCCCTGGAGCGAACTCTGCCAAGCGCTAGCCCCTGAATTTGCCAAAGCTGCAGCGGTGCTGCAGGATGAGGCCCCGAGGCTGAGGCTGGCCAAAGTGGATGCCACGGAGGAGCGGGCCCTGAAGGCAGAGTTTCGGGTGGCTGGGTACCCAACCCTCAAGCTGTTCCGAGGCGGGAACCGCAACCAGCCCACAGACTACAGAGGTGAGGGCCAGAGTCCTTGGGGGGGGGGCAGTTGCCCCAGCTGGGGTCACCACGCAGTGGTGGGCCACCCGTGGCTGAAAGATGCCCCTCCTTCCTCCTCCCTTCCTCTGAGCGAGGCCCCTTCCTTGGCAGCCCTGCCCTTCGCTCGGCAGCTTCTCCGTGAGGG